TGGAAGAGGATAAGGATATGGGAAAGAAGGGTTTTGATAGAAATAAGCTCCTTCTACTTCATTAGCACCCATTCTTCTAGTGAACTCAATTGGCCTCACCGCCCGTGGAGGTGGGTGGGCAACAGCAGACAATGCTGTCTGAATCTTATATGCTTGGACTTACGACTCTTGCAGGTCTCCTTAGGCTGTGGGTGCTTGTTGGCTAGAGTTGCTCCTTATTTCTTGTAATGAGCTTCTTTGCAGGTCCTACTGGTACCTCTTCAGGGATGCCAAAGTAGCAGCCAAAAGCAACACCACAGCAGCCAAATAGCAGGCCAAACCAACCATAGCAGCAGCCAACCTACCCCACCAAAGATAGGACATCCAAAAATAAGTAGAAGGACCAACTGAAGACCTATTTTCCTACATCCAACAGTTAGCATATCCAGGAAATCAAGGCAATGGGCAGCAGCAAACAAGCAACTTGAACTAGCAGTGCCATGGACATGGATTACCTAATGGAAGATGGGCTATGAACATGCATAACAGAAGCAGAGATTAACAAACTAAATCCTTGTGTAGCCCACATGCATTCATGGGTTCTTAGATGGTTGGAACCTGGAGCACACAGCTATAAAGGTTCAATTATCACTGATATATTGTAGTTGTATCATCTAACCTCTTCTTCATTTGGAAAAAAATGAGGCCAATGATTTGATTTCGTAATGACTTGTTTTGGACTATTCTGATTGTGTAGGTCTCGGTTATTAATATCTAATCAATTTTATTTTTTTATGAATAACCTAAGTAAAAAAAAACCTATAAAATAAACAGATATTAAACAAACATTCAAATATAGAGAGGAGTTGAACCCTAATTTTATTAAAAACACTGACAATCAATCCAACTCATATAAAATATTCATATTTAGTCAAGGGCTTTTACTAAATTCAAACTGTTAATTATAATCAATAGAACATTCATTCTCACTTTTATAGCAGAAACAAGCAAAAGACATTGAGGATGGCCAAGTTTACAATTTACACATTCACAATTTATTGTAGAGAAACCTTGTTGGGAAGAATAAAATACAACATTAATTCTAAAAAATTAGTTTCAAAAATTAGAGAAAAAATTAATTCTGAAAATTAGGGAAAACATAGATAGAAAAATAGAAAAATTGAGTATGTGTGTGTGTGTGTGTGTGTGTGAGAGAGAGAGAGAGAGAGAGAGAGAGAGAGAGACAGGACCCATGCCTGATGGAAGAGAACACACAGCAGTAAAGGAGATATGATGTCTGTGGCGACACTGAAGGAGGAGAACAGGGATGTCGGCAGTGGCGCTGGAGAAGAACACGCTGAAGGGGCGCTGGAGAAGAACACACAGCACTTGTGTTTTGTTTTGAGAGGGACAGGGAGAGGAAGACTGATAGGAAAACTAATTCGTCAATAAACAAAACACATGGCACTTGTGTTTTGTTTTGAGAGGGAGAGACAGATAGAGATTGAGGTTGATAGGAAAATTGATCAATACACACAAACACACACACACACACACACAAGAGGGAAAAACATAGATTTTTTTTTTTCATTATCGATTAATATGTCAAAATTCTTCTTTCAAAATTAGTGACAAAATAATTTTCTCACTAAAAGGCCTGAAAATATTAAAAATTATTAGTGACGAAAATATATTTCTCACCAAATGGTCTTAAAATTAAAATCAAGTTTTTCAAAAAAAAAAAAAAAAATTAATTATTGGTGACGCAAATATGTTCCTCAATAATAATTTTTTAATTGGTGAAAAAAAAATTTCTCACCAAAAGTTTCAAATTTTTGGCGCCATCAAAAAATATTAGTGGGAAAAATTTCGGTGACGAAACTTAATTTTTTTCTCACCTAATAGTAAGCATTATTGACGGAAATAAATTTCATCACCTATTATTTTTATTTTTTTATTATACGTGACAAAATTTATAATTCATCATGGATTATTCGTATTTAGTAACAAAATTTGTTTTCTTTACTAATTTTCGTCACCATACCAAAACAGAGAATAAGAGAAAGAGACACCAGAAAAAGAGCAAAGAGAAATCATGTACCAAATCGGCGAGCGAAGAAGATGCGGCAGTTACTGGCAAGGCTACTAGTGGCGGTGGCGATCGGCAAGGCTAATAGAGGCGACGACGATGGCGATTGGCATGGTGGAGGAGCAAGAGGTAAGACAAATTAATACCCTATTTTGAATGAGAGAGAGAGAGAGAGAGAGAAGGGGTAAACAAAAATTAATATCCTGTTTTTTTTATTGCCGCTCAATATATCAAAAATTTCCCACTAAAATTGGTGACAATATTATTTCCTCATCAAAAGATCTCAAAAATATTAAAACGTTTTGATGACGAAAATATATTCCTTATAAATAATTTTATAATTAGTGACAATTTTTTTTCTCACCAAAAGTCCCAAAATTTTTGGCGCCACCCAAAAAAATTAGCGGGAAAAGTTTTGGTGACGAAACTTAATTTTTCGAAACTTAAAATGAAGTATTTATTGACGAAAATAATTTTCGTCACCTATCATTTTTATTTTTTTGTTATATGTGAAAAATTTGTAAATTCCTCACGAATTATTTTTATTTAGTGATGAAATTTATTTTCTTCGCTTCTTTTCATTACCATAGATTACTTTTGTTGTAGTGTAATATGATTGATGATTCATTTTAAGAACTTGCTTCTCCCACCCTCATACTATTTTCCTAGAATTCATATTTTTTAAATAATTAAAAAAACTTTTATTGGCTAACTTTTATTGAATCATTAAAAAAAAAATCTTATTATACCTTGATTTACGCATTTCAAAATGAAAATCAAATATAACATAAAGTTGGGTACATATTTTCTACACTAAAAATTTTGAATTAATATGACTTTTTAAAATTGTGTACTACAAACTCTTATCACACATGTCTCTGGATATAATAATGATTAAAATTTATTTTAGTTGCTATATCAAAGATTAATCATAGAGTAAAAAATAAAAAAATAAAAAAATGTGCAGGTCTTAAAGTTTTAAAGAAAAAATTTATGTTAGAATTTGTTTAAATGCAATTCTCTTAATATTTATAAAAAAAATTTATTGATTGATAAAAAGCACCGTAAACATTAAGATTATTAATTTTTTTTTTATAATGATATTGAGTTGTTAAAATATGATGTATTATAGGCTTTAAAGTAAGAATTGTTGAAAAAAATAATCGACTCAAGCTAGATTTTATAGGCTAATTTTTAATATTTAATCAAATATTCAAATCCCCAAACTAGTTCATTTGGTCACGAACTGATAAAAACAATTTTTAATGATTAGGTGAATGTCACATTGGTTTGAGTTAGGTAAATTCTAGATCACTTCTAATGTTTAGTCTAACACTATGAGTCAATTCTAATACATTTTCATTTAAGAATTATGGCATACGATAATTTATAATTTTGAGTAGATAAATTTTAATCTTTACAAAATAAGAAAAACTAATTATATTAACAAATGTAATTTACTGCAATCATATGGTAAATTAAAATTACGAAACTTATAAAACGAAATGTATTTATATTTTATAGTAAATATAATTTTTGTAATTTATTTTTAATTTTTACTAATAATTATGATATGTAGTTTTTTATTAAGAACTTAGAACATATAATTAATGACATCATAGTAAAAAAAAATTTCTTATGTGTAGCTCTAATAAAAATGAATAAATTTTAATTTATTATAAATTATATTTAAAATAAATTTTATATTGTTATTTTTAATTTAAAGCTAGTTTTCAACTATTTATTTATATCAGTGGATAACACGGCTAATATATTAATAATATAAAAAGAGAAAAAGACACCCACATGGTGACTATCTCATTTCAAATAATTTTCAATTCTTCCTTTATTCCTTTCCTTTGTTTTGTTGATTTGTGCAGGCGTGAATCGAGGGCAATGAAATGGTAAACAAATTCCATTGGAAAATGAGGCAACGACAATATTTCTTTTTCTGTTATAAAAGAATCCTTTTGCTAAGAAAAAAAAAAAGTAGAAGGGAAAAGCAAAGAGGAATAAAGAAAAATTTGTGATATTTATTTGTTTTTAAAATATTATTGTGATTCATTGAGTTATATTTTCTGATAGAGTTTGTTGAGAGTTTAAGTTTTAATTTTAAAAGAGTTCTATATCTGCTGTTCTTGTTCTTATTCTTGTAAAAATGAGTGATATTTTTGTGAGTGATTTTTGGGACAAAATCACTTGGATTAGGTGTGACTAGGCACTAAATTCAAAACTAGCTGAATTATTTTTGTGAGTTGTTTTTTGGATAAAATTATTTGGTTTGGTGTGACTAGGCAGCAAATTCTAAACTAGTCAGAATGATTGAACTTGATCAATTGTTATAAACGTTCACTAGCACGAGTGAAACTAGTGGTGTATTACTATTTGAAGAATAGTAGAGAAATTCCCAAGGAGGTTACTTGGGGAGTCGATGTAGACTTCAATTAAATCGAACCATTATAAATCGCAGCGTTTACTTTCTCTTCCCTTTGCTCATTCCATTTTTATTACTTTCATTTATATTGTTCAACATTTCTATTTATTTATTTGTTAGTTTAATTTGTGATCTATAAAAACTTCACACCTTGCCCCATAAAGATAATGACGCCAAGTTTTCAATACAAAGACAACGATAGCGAGTTCTAAATCATGTGTTGGGTAGTTATTTGCATGTCGTTTCAATACCAAGAACCCATGCCTTGTGTCACGCCCCACTTTTTATAACATTACCATGTCCATTAACATAAATCCATTTCCATTAGGAACAAGCAGAGATATTGTCATGATGCAAACCTGACCCTAAAGGTTTAAGCCGTGACTGACCAGTAATCCCAGATTACCTGGCCTCAAAGACAAATCGGATAATTAATAATAGTAAACAGGGCATTACAGAAGTGATATTAACACATAACTATGACCATCGAGGGGTACATACATGCAAATTTCACAAGTATTTAAAACTTCATCCTTCTTACATAGATATAAATACATAGATACATCACAACATCATTAGACACTTATACAAATTTCCATACATAGCAAGTTTCCAAGCAACAAAAGAAAAGAAAACAAAGGGTCAACACATTGAGTTCAAGTTCGCCCCATCACGGAGGCACTTCAAAGTAGCTTCACAAAAGGTGGATTCCCGAGGTTGCTCTAGACTTGGCGCTCCATTTGCTCACCTACATATATAGGGAAAGGGGTCGAGCTAAAGCCCGGTTAGTAATATCAGTATAAAGAGGTTAAATGAATGATGTCTACAATAACTCAAAGCATATCACATGAGTTTGAAAATGAATCATAATTAAGTAGCTGACATATCAAAGTTCACAAATCATATCTCATATGTGGTACATCCAATAGCGCAAAGCAAAGGGCCCGAAGGCATATCCAAGGGACCACGTGGGTCTAATAAAGAGACCAATGTAGCTCAACCAAAGTGACGACTCGGGTCAACATCAGAGATCTTTGTGCACATATAACAAAGTTCCATCGTATTGTTTCCCCCGAGATGAGGGCCTTATTAACAAAGGGCCATGGTATTGTTTCCCCCGGGTGAGGGATTTATTAGCAAAGGGCCATGATATTATTACCTCCAAGCGAGGGTTTCACTAAAGGATGCCACAATTACTTTTCAAAGAGACAATCATACATTCTTATCAAATTAGCATTTCAAAATAAGATTCTTAAAGTAATTCAAAAATACATTTCAACACATCTTTACAAAGATATTACTCACAGTGGGCTAGCATAGGTGATAGACCTCGGATAACCACCTACACAAACACATAACATAGATACACATTGAAGCTTATGATTGTAACAAATAGCGTGTCTTAATTCAATTCTCTTACATGCATTCCTAGCTTATTCCATGGCTAAGGATGTCTAAATAATGCTTAAGAATGTCTAAAAGGGCATGAGGATGCAAATATGCACATTTGAGTGTTTGTCAAAAATTGCTGAAAATAGAGTCTTCGCCCGAGTGCAACATTGGTTGCTTAAGCAGACCTCTAGGTCTGCAAAAGTACTGGTTGGTCCGAATCTAGACTCGATGTTTGTTCAAGCCAAGGTGCAAAATAAAAGGCAGTCGCTCGAGCGATGATTTGGTCACTTGAGCCAACTGCAAATGTCTGCAAAAATATTGGATGCATGAAATGTGCACTTGAGCAACAGATTACTCGCTTGAGTGGTGAGGCAGAATTCTAAAATTTCTAGAATTGCATTTGAAGTTCATAGCCATGAGTTTCAAGTCCAAAGCTTGCATGGCTTAAGAAAACATGAGGAAACATTATATAAAACATGAATACTTGATAATTATCAAACAATAGTTCAAAATCTCTTTCAAATTTTCCAAACAAAACCCAAAACTCTTCAATCTTGCTATGCATGTAAATAATTCAATTCTTTTCTTTTCAAAACATATTCGTATGAGATGTTTAGTGTGAAATCATGAAGAACCTTGAAAGATAGCTAGTATAACATCATGCATGTAAGGATTTTGTTGAGAATTAAGCTTGAGAATGATGAATTATGCATGCATGTCCCAATTTCAACCCATATTTACTAAATTCATGGTGATTCTAACTTATCCTTCTCAAATTCATGCAAATGATCACACAAGCTTAGTGAATTCAATTTTTACATGAATTATCTACAAGAATTATGGGTGGATTCCATACCTAGAACTTGAATTTGGAAGTTGCTAGCTTAATATCTTCAAATCTTCTTCAAATTCACAATGTCCATACCTGGCCCGGAAAGCAGTATTCTCTATGTCCTCGGCCTTAACCTTCATCTGATGGTATCCTGATCTTAAATCGATCTTGGAAAACACTTGGGCCCCTTGTAACTGATCAAACAAATTGTCAATTCGAGGCAAATGATATTTATTCTTAATGGTTACCTTGTTTTGTTCTCGGTAGTCAATACACAAGCGAAGCGTTCTATCTTTCTTCTTCATAAACAACACAGGTGCACCCTACGGTGATGTGCTCGGCCAGATGAACCCCTTATCAAACAATTTCTGCAACTGAACTTTCAATTCTTTCATTTCAATAGTTGACATGTGGTATGGAGTTTTAGTTTTTGGTTGGGTACCCGGTATCACATTAATCACAAACTCAATTTCCCTATCAATCAATTGTCTGGGCAACTCTTCCAGAAACACATCAGAAAAATCTGTTACAACTGGAATATCATCTAAGATAGCATTTGTAGTTTGAATACTCAATATAGTACACAGATACCCTGACACCCCTTGTCAATCAGTTTAGGAGCCTTCATTGCAGAAATTAAGTATGGTGGGGGAACTACACCCTTTCTCTCAAAATAAAACACATTTTGTCCCGAAGGTCAGAGTATTACTTGTTTCGAGGCACAATCAATGATCGCATAATATTTAGATAACCAATCCATACCCAAAATAATATCAAAATGAGTCATATCCAAGGGCAATGAATTAACATACAAGATGGCATTCTCAAGTAAAATTTCACATGCAGGGTAAATAGATGAACATAACATAGATCCTCCTGATGACGATGACACACATAGTATGTATCTCAATGTTTCCAAAGGTTTATTCAATTTATGAGAAAATACCATAGAAACAAAAGAATGTGTAGTCCCTGATTCAATCAAGACATATGCATATTGCTCACAAATAGAGAGTGTACTTGAAACCACAGTCTCCACATTTTGGGTGTCCCATGGAACAAGCGCAAAAACCCTTCCTTGTCTTTGGTTGTCCTCATTATGGTCAGAGTTGCATTGGCCCTTACAGTCGGTGCTGAGCTTGTGGCATCCCGGTTACCACGTAATCATTGTTGTGTACACTGCCTTGCTATGTGTCCTACCTTTCCATACAAAAAACAAGCCCTCGTAGTTCGATAACATAAACCTCGATAATTTCTCCCACAATCTAGGCAAACAAGTGCCGAGTTACTATTCTTATTCGAACTACTAGAGTTTTCCGATTTTACTTTCTTATTTGTTGCTGATGTTACCCCTTTGTTCACATTAGCATTATGCCTTTTACCCCTTCAATCAAAATTCCAGTTACGAGTAGCCATGTTTGCCTCTAACACAAGATCCTTGCCTAAAACATCAACATATTTGGGTAGTTTTAACACATTAATTCTTTCAAGAACTGAGTCGCGAAGACCTCCTTCAAATTTTCTGGCCTTTTTATAATCTATGTGAACCATATGCGGTGTGAAACATGCCAATTCTGTAAATTGGGCTTCGTATTCAGCCACTGTCTTGTTCCTTTGCTTTAGTTGCTCACTGTCTTGTTCCTTTGCTTTAGTTGCTCAAATTCAAATACCTTTCTATCCCGGATACATTGTGGGAAATACTTCTCATAAAAGATTTCTAGGAATCGGGCCCAGCTAATTTCTTTGTTATTATCACGAATTAACATCCACCATCTTCTCGCTTCATCCTCTAAAGTAAACGTGGCCAATAGAACCTTTTGTGCCTCGATACATGGAAACACCTCAAATAACTTCTCAATCCCCAAGACCCACGCTTCAGCCTTAGCGAATATACTCCTCCATGAAACAAAGGTGGCTTCATCTTTTTGAATTCCTTGGTGAGGGCAATGGTTTGGTTGTCTGTTTGATGATCCTGTACCTGTGGTGGTACGGGCATTGGAGGTGGGAGTGGTGGTTGTTGCTGCTGCCATTGTTGTTCTTGTCTTAAGCTTTAAGCCATATCATGCATCATTCTTTCCATCCTTTCAAGCCTTGAGGAGCTTGACTCCTCCAATTAATCCCCTCTTGTTCTCACCATTTTCAATATAAACTTGGTATTATAATAAACACAATGAATGCACACATAATCATATACACATTTACAAAAGCCACATCTTTCTTGTACTAAAATGCACATGAATGCAATCCTTGAGTTTTTTCTAGACACCTTATGGCTCAAGAGACAAGTGACTGAGGTATGACTTGTGCTTTGATACCAAATTGTCATAACCTGAACCCGCCCCTAAAGGTTTAGGTCATGACCGACCAGTAATCCTAGATTCCCTGGCCTCAAAGACAAATCAGATAATTAATAATAGTAAATGGTGCATTGCGGAAGTGATATTAAAACATAACTATGTCCATCAAGCGGTGCACACATGCAAATTTCACAAGTACTTAAAACTTCAACCTTCTTGCATAGATATAAGTACATAGATACATCACAACATCATTAGACATTTATACAAATATCCATACATGGCAAATTTCCAAATAAACAAAAGAAAACAAAACAAAGGGTTGACACAGATTGGCTCCACTTGAGTCCAAGTTTGCCCTATCACGGAGTCACTTCAAAGCAGCTTCACAAAAGGTGGACTCCCGAGGTTGCTCTAAACTTGACACTCCATTTGCTAACCCACATATATAGGGGAAGGGGGTAAGCTAAAGCCTAGTGAGTAATATCAGTATAAAGAGGTTAAATGAATAATGTCTATCATAGTTCAAAGCATATCACATGAGTTTCAAAATGAATCATAATTAAATACTTGACATATCAAAGTTCATAAATCATATCTCATATGTGGTACATCCAATAGCGCAAAGTAAAGAGCTCGAAGGCATATCAAAGGGAGCACGTGGGTCTAACAAAGGGACCACATAGGTTAAACAAAGGGACCACTCGAGTTAACATCAGAGATCTCTATGCACATATAACAAAGGGCCACAGTATTCTCTACCACAGGTGAGGGCCTTATTAACAAAGGGCCGCGATATTGTTTCCCTCAAGTGAGGGCCTTATTAACAAAGGGCCATGGTATTGTTTCTCCCGGGCATGGGCCTTATTAGCAAAGGGCCATGGTATTATTACTCCCAGGCGATGGCTTCATTAAAAGATGCAACAATTACTTTTAAAAGAGACAATTATTCATTCTTATCAAAATAGCATTTCAAAATAAGATTCTTATAGTAATTCAAGAATACATTTCAACATTTCTTTACAAAGATACTACTCACAGTGGGCTAGCACAAGTGTTCAACCTCGGATAACCACCTACACAAACACATAACAAAGATACACATTGAAGCATAACGTCCGTAACAAATAGCGTGTTTAATTTGAATATCTTATATGTGTTCCTAGTTTATTCCATGGCTAAGGTTGTCTAAATAATGCTTAAGAATGTCTAAAAGGGCATGAGGATGCAAATATGCACATTTGAGTGTTTGTCAAAAATTGCTGAAAGCAAGGTCTTCCCTTGAGTGCAACATTGGTTGCTCAAGCGGACCTCTAGGTCTGCAAAAGTACTAGTTAGTACGAATCTAGGTTCAATGTTCACTTGAGCCAAGGTGCAAAATAGAAGGCAGTCGCTTGAGCGATGACTTAGTCGCTCGAGCCAACAGCAAATGTCTGCGAAAATACTGGATGCATAAAATGTGCGCTCGAGCGATAGATTGTTCACTCTAGCGGTGAGGCAGAATTTTGAAATTTGCAAAATTTCATTTGAAGTTCATAGGCATGATTTTCAAGTCCAAAGCTTGCATGGCTTAAGAAAACATGAGGAAACACTTTATAAAACTGATTACTTGATAATTATCAAACCATAGTCCAAAATCTCTTTCAAATTTTCCAAACAAAGCCTAAAACTCTTCAATCTTGCCATGCATGAATTCAGTTATTTTCTTTTCAAAACATATTCATATGAGATGTTTAGTGTGAAATCATGGAGAACTTTCAAACATAGCAAGTATAACATCATGCATGTAAGGATTTTGTTGAGAATTAAGCTTCAGAATGATGAATTATGCATGGATGTCCATGTCCAATTTCAACCCATATTTGCTAAATTCATGGTGATTCTAGTTTATCCTTCTCAAATTCATGCAAATGATCCTACAAGCTTAGTGAATTCAATTTCTACATGAATTATCTACGAGAATTATGAGTGGATTCCATATCTAGAGCTTGAATTTGGAAGTTGCTAGCTTAATCTCTTCAAATCTTCTTCAAATTCGGAATTTGGAAGTGTCTCTACTCTCTCTCTCTCTCTCTAGAAGTGTTGTTCTCACTCTCACTCTATAATTTCAATTCAATTGATGTAAAATGAACTCATAAACATGCTTAAGGCATATATATATATATATATATATAAGTAGATTAAGTTAAGCTAATCAAATGAGAGTAGGGGTAATTAATTTGAGTTAATTCTAATTTGTGGGTGCCGAGTAAAAGAGACCGCTCAGGAGTTGCTTAAAGAGGATGCCGAGAGCCGAAAAGACTGGTGAGGATAACTTTGCATGACCAGACCCATCTAAACAAGACCAAGGCCGAGTAGAATCTATCTGAAAGTCGAGTATTCCGAAATTCTTCTGGCACATCTACGGGTCCCAGATGTGATGGCCAAAGGAGATGATGGGAAATTGGGCCCTAGAGTGCAGTATAAAAAGGAGGAGCTTCAGCGAAACTGAGGTATGTGAAAACAAACAAGATAACTTAAAACAGAAGTAAACTTGAGAGGATACTGACTTGTCCGTCAGAGTGCTAATTCCAACACCCCCGACTGAAGTGTTTATTCTTTTTTCAAGTAGTAATCAGAGGATCAAGAGCGTCTGACTGGATCCAAGAGTATTCTTAAAAACCCTTTCACCACAATTGGCACCGTCTATGGGAAAACTCAAGTGTGTTCATGGCAGGCATGACAGATGATCCTTCGGTAGTTATTGACGATGTTACACCAAGAGATGATGTTACTCCAAGAAA